TATGTGTTAATACAAAGTTGCATGGTAAGTTCATTTTTTTCTAATGTGTCAGTTGTTTAACCTAGGGATTTTTTAGATTTTTTTTTTAATACCAATGGTGCTGCTTTTTGTCAAGTCACTACAGAAAAGGGAAAAGTATGAAGTTAAATGGTTTTGACTTACCTTAGTTGGAAGAGTATACTTTCCATCAGGTAGAGGAACACTCTGAACATCTCCACATGTGCCACATACAAAAGCTAGCTTAGTGCAGAGAGGCTTAATGTTACTGACACGCACAACAGTACCACGCAAGGCAATATATTTTCCATAGCAGTTGGCCCGAACATTTTTCAGCTGAGTCAGCGGATCATAGTTGTACACCCTACACAAAAGTATTAACATTTTGAAAGCTTAGCGTGCTTAAATGCAGAACAAAAAACCCCCACCCCACAAAACCCAAACAAAAAATCCAACATCCAACAACAGAAAGGTTTCCACACCTATCAACAGTAATCCAGAGCAATGATTAGAAATATGTGGACCCATGCCATAGTCTTTGATTCCTATTCTAGAAAGCAGCGTAACACTTAATGTTCCCGAAGTTGTATATACCTTAACAGGTGTACACTTTGTTTACATAGCAACACCTCCCTCCTGAGACTAGTGATACAACATAAATTACTTTATAGTCATCTGTCTCTTTGAATTATTTCAGATTAAGACCAGAGTTTAGACTTGTGACAGAAAAGGATCAAATATTTATTATGCCTATTCTCCAAAAGGAAGAGTGAGCTTTCGTGTTTTAAGGACATAAGAACCGGTACAACACACTGCATCTTGTTAAGGGCAACAAAGAATACTTAGACAAATAATTCAGAATAACAAACTTAAAACAGAATCACTTATCATGAAATGAACTTCATGAGCTTGCCTAGCCCAACCCTCCTGCTCATGCAGGGTCTGCTAGGGCAGGTCACCAAGGTACATGTCCAGTTGAGTTTTGAATATGTTTGCAGATGGAGACTACGCAACCTCTCACAGTAAGATAAAATTCCATGTGAACACAGGAAAATGCTAAGTGTGTTAATTTGTACCCACTGTCCCTCATTCTGTCACTGGGCACCAGTAAGAAGCATCTGGCCCCTGAAATCCAGGGTTTTCCATGCTCCCTCTGCTTAGGGCCCTGAACAAAGAGATTCAATCCTGCCTATGCTGCAGAACCATTTTAGGAGCATGATATTTTATTGACTTACTGAATACTTTCCTCTACAGGATAATGGTCTATAAGTGGAATCTGAGAGCTTGCATATATCTTTTTTGGCCACAGGTTTTTCCTAAACACATTCTACTGTGTAATTTAAAAGGTGCAGTTTTATAATACAAAACTTAAAAATATGTGTCAAACCCCCAAATTAAATCCACCTGCCATACCCAAACATGCTCCTTTTCTATACCAAACCAGAACCAGCAGAAACAAAAAGAGAAACCAAACCCAACTCAAATAGGACTTATAATCCCAGTTCCTCTCAGACTCCTGAAGTCTGAGATTCCATTAGAATCATAGAATCACTTTGGTTGGAAAAGACCTTTGAGATCATCGAGTCCAACCCTTAACCTAACCCTGACATCCCACCACTAAACCATGTCCCTAAAACTTCTGACAAAGAACAAAAAAATTGTGCTGAGGGCTTGTTTCATTAAGAATTCAAAGGAAATCACAATTTTAAAATAACAGTAATTATTATTCTTGTAATTACATGCTTGTTCAGAATTAGCATAACCTCAGTTTCTTCATTTCAAATTAAAGTTAAATTAATTAGAACTGATACTATTGAGACTTTCTACCACTAATCCTTTAGTAGATTTAAGCTAGTACAAAATACCACATCCTCATACAAGGAATAATAAATATTACCAGTTGTCATTTAGGTCTACACCCTCCAAATCAACTTCCTTAAGAATAGGAGCCTTTTTCTAACAAAAGTCTAATTGTAATGCCTTCCTTCCCAACTTCTCCAGTAAACAGTAGAAATTTAAACACATTTATCTGTTTTTAATCAATATATGTTTCACAGAATAGTTGTTCTACTTGTAAGTTACTTTTCTGTTTATAAGCTTTTCTAGTTATAAGCTGTTTGTTCAGCTTATAAACAGGTTTCATTTCGCTTTTGTCTTCACAATGACAGTTTAGCTTCTGTTGAGGAGAAAAAAACAAAATGTAGACTTTTTCTGGAAATAGCTTCACAGTCAGGTCTCAATAAAATAAATAAGCCTTCAGCACCATGCATGGACACTGACAACCATTAGACAAGAGGCAAATAGATCCTCCTGAAAACAAAACAAAGACTCAACACTTATTACCTAGCATGAATGAGAGGCACATTTATTATAGGTTCTCCATCAAGTGGTAATCCTTCCTGCACCTGCAGCTCTGCAGCATGCCTTTCAAGGTCCTTTGTTAGCACCTAGACAGAACAGAAAGGCAGATGCAAATACAGTATGAATTCAATTTGCTATTAAGATTACCACCCCTTGCGATTGAACCCCCTACTGATGTCTGAAGAGCCCTCTGCTGTCCAGTGAGCCCTGCTAAACAGTGTTTTTCTGCTTCTGAACAGTTTCAAGCTTCATTAAAAAAGACAAAATGTATACAGCAATCTTTAATGCTGGTCAATGCGTGGAGTTTTGTTTGACTAAAGCACAAACATCTGAGAACTTGCCTGTCAACAAGCACTGAATTGCTATTTTAAGAGACATTCAGCAGAGCCAGGAATTATTGAATCTGCTCACCATTCACCCAGCAGAGCCATGGTTCTGCTGCACGAGGTGGGAAACGCAGCACAGGTAACTCACAGTACATGTAAAAAATCCCAAGAATTAGAGCTCCCAATAGGGAGTAACATAACTGTTAGAACTATGCTTATTTTTAGTCAACTGCTTTGATGATGAATAAGAAAAATGCACCAAGACTAAAGCATTTTCAAAACATGATTTTGTAGGCCATACAGAAATGGTGGAGAGACAGAAGAGTTTGAGTTTTGAATTAACAGTAAATTTCTGTAAGACAAACAGAGGGATTTGTGTTTTCTAACATAATTACCTTTAAGTCCCAGCAATTCTTTGTGAGGGTTATGCTTCTATGTATTAGAACATTATGTTACCTGATGAATTGCCAGACCCATACAGTGCAGTATTTTCTGAGGCATATCCCTTAATTCAGTAGATATATTTGGTATTGATTTAGTTAATTCTCTGTCTTGTATCAGTTCCTTATAATCCACAAGAATACTTCCTTTTCTCTCTATTTCATCCTGTGAAATGTTATAAGTTATTAAATACACTGCAAATTATGAACATATATCCAAATCATGCCATAAACAATTCATATCTATGATAGATAAAATACATAAAATCTGTAATGTTACTGTATCAAGAATATGGAGGGCAGGGGGGAGGAAATGTTTTGTTTTGCTTTTACCTTATCATAAAGCTCAATGCGTTGCATGAAGAACTTTTCAAAGGCTTGAGTCTTCTGGACAAAAGGAGACTTGTCAGCATAAGCTAATTAGAAACACGTTGCATTAATAACTGACATAAATAAATCTATTTCACAAAATAACACAAGCAGGCAATTTCTCTACCATTATTTTTTTGCATTCCAAAACTGAGGAAGAGGATAGATCTCTAGAGTATCACAGTAACTTCCTCTTATAAGACCTGTTATGAAACAGAACTTTGTTTGAGATGACACAGGACAAGCACATAGGATCAAAAGAAGTACAGCAGAGGTACATATATTCCAGTCTGACAGATTGCACGTTTCAGGTGGCTAATAGAACAGGTTTAAGAAAGATCATATTTCACAGTATTCAAGATGCCTTTCCAAGTTTTGGAGCCAAGAGATTACAGTATGCTACAAGACTAAAATCTCTACTATATTCATGCTTTTATATAACAAATATGAATTTCAGTTGCTTTCTGTTGAGCTTATCCTCTCTACTTATAATCAATTATAGAAAAAAATGGAATACAATACTTGCAATATATAATTTTGGTCTAACAATACCTTCAGTGAAATAAAGTTTCCAGCCCTTATAGGGAATGAATTGGTCCAGTGTTGATTGAACTAGTCGAGATTGTACTACTAAAAAAAAAATAAAACGGGGGTTAAAACAATGCGGATACTAAAACTTTGCAAGTTTTATTCTCAGTGATCCTTTAGAGCACCAGGAGGGCACCTGCTGCAATCATCCAGTGCCAAGTAGGTCAAAAGAAGAGGTTGTTCTGAAAGCACTATAGCTTCACAAAACAGGGAGAAGCACAGGAGCTGGCTCACCAGGTTCGGGCATTCTTTTCCACTCTACTTTGTGTCCTCTGCCTCGCCATCCGCCTCGCCATCCACCTCGCCAGCCGCCTCGCCAGCCCTGAAAGCCTCTTCCCCGGGCGCATCCCCTGCCCCTGAGGTCCCTACTCATCTCGCTCCGCAGGCGTCAGTTTGGGGGCGCGACAGCAGACTGAGGTAAAGAAACAGAAATTTTATCAGAAGACATTTAATTTAAATTAGGGTTATTTAGCCAGGGGGACTTCGCTGGGAGTGAAAGCCCTGAGGTACCTCGATGGCCTTGCGGAAGACCCGCCCTCCCTCTCCCCACCGCAGGGCCCGGGGAGGCAAAGAGGAGCCCCGCCGAGGAGCCCCACCACACAGCCCCAGCGACGAAATAACGGCACCA